TTTTGCTTAGGGGAAAAAAAAATTCTTAGCATCTTCCATTCAAAGAAAGCTACACCCTGCCTTTAAAGCCCTCTTATGTTCCCTGAGGAAATCTCCACAAATTCTTTTCTTCTTCCTGTCTTCCAAAGGCAGTTTTTATAGGCATTTTAGTAACATCTTTTATCTGAGCATTACACATCATACACTAGCTGCTGCATGGTATAACATACTGAGATAAGGACTCCGAAGTAAAACCTGATTTTTTAAAAAGGATTGGCAAATTGTAAACACTAACATTCAAACATAAAATGTTTGAGTCCATCTTCAACACTGAATTACATCAAGAATTCGGATTTAATCTTGAAACCTATTAGTATGGTATTGTGTAGATGCCCAAGTCATAGGAAAGCCAAAACAGGGTTTGTATCACTGAACTGATTTCCCTCAGGGGTCTACTGGAGATCTCACATTCAGATTCAGACACGGAAGGAAAATAATTCTTAGTGTTGTGTTCAAAAGCAGAACACTGGCTTGTTACTAAATTTATCTCTTCCCTTACGTGTCATCAGCGAGCTGGCCAAATGAATTCTTGCTGTGGGTATGAGCAGGCACAGGAGCAACCCGTGTTTTATTTCACCTGGTGTCATCGGAAAGAGACTGATTTCCGTTTTCAGGGTTGTTTTGGATTCTCCTCATAGATGCAGACAAGGGCTGCTCACATCTAGCAGATGCAGAACGTATTTAAACTCTCAGCCTGATTAATTTTTCGTGTGCCTTACTTTCTAGCTGTTTTGCTAAAGGTGCCATAAAACTCCCCTGAACTTAGACTAGAACAAAATCTACGCTATGATGCTTTGCAACAGCCCGCAGTTATCATTGAGAAAACCCCTGCCGAATGCAGATTAAATCCCCTACTCCATATAGGTCTCAGTTCCAGTGCTACCACCTTTCAGGAAGATTGAATAAATTGTAAATATAAGACCAAGATGAGACTTTACAAATGTTTCCTTATCAAAATATTTTTATGAAAAGGCACAGCACAACTTTCTCCAACAGATGACCAAAGTTTGAACCAACAGAAACAAGCCTCACTGGTAACCTCTGAAGTCTCTGTATATAGCTAGCAAGCTTCTGATTTCATGTCCTATTTCTGAGATGGTGTTTCAATGTATTTACAGGCAGGGGAAGAAAGAAACCATTTTGTATTGCTACACTTACAGTGATTGTCCTGAACTCTTGGCAGGGCCAATCTCGCTGGTCCCAGACCATAGCAAGAGAGAGAAAACTATCCTGACTCACTGGGTCAGAATGACTGAAAAATAAAAAGTGAGTGACAAGAACATCTGGGATAGTGCATGGAGCTGGAATCGTTCTTACATGCAGGTTCAGCAAGAACTTTTGGCCAAAGCTTTGCCTCCTGTTGTGTTGCCCACCTGGTCATTACCTTAAAAAAGTAAAGGGGAAAAGGAATGAACAAAGCGATGGTAGGGGTAGCAAAAGGGTGCAAGGAAACTGGGATCATTTGACAGCCAATGTACATACCAGGCTAGCGATTTGGAAAAAGCAATTCAACAGACAGGCATTCTGCTCAGCTTAATCACAGCAGCACGGCATACAGGTCTGGTTTACACAACAACAGATACCCACCAGGGGACAAGTGTCATTGGTTAAAATTCAGTGTAAACCTGCTAGTTGGAATAGAAGAGCTCTTGCTCCCTTTGCATCTTGTGTATTGTGTTACATTTGTGCAAGGCACTAGAGAATCAGGCACATTGTTTTGGGTGGAAACCGTTCTATGACTACGATGACTTGAGTTTGTAACGTCCAATAGCTTCATACAGGAGCAGTTGGAATACAGTGACGTTTTAAAAATTGCCATTAAAGTTTCTCACTTCTAAAATTATCTTTTCTTTTCTAGACCTTTGGGGGGATGGGGTAAATGGGGAAGTGGGAAACAGCTTTGTTTAGCAAGACAGCTCCTGAAGAAAAATATTTGGGATCTATACAGTTGCTCTCCACTGACACTGATGTTGGCAATTTCTGCTACCAGCATCAATACTAGTAAGTGGTTAAACCCAGTAAAATAGATCTTTCCATTTTTGTATCTCAGGGGTAAGTTCTGGCTCTTGACATGAACAAACCCACATCCAAATCCCTGCAGCACACAGAGCCTGTGTGATGCATTCGGGTCACTCTGACTTCTCTGGGAGGTCAGAGACAATGAACTGCCTCCTGCAGAGAAACCACAATAGGGGAAATGGCATGTACTGGTGATGACAGATGCCCACAGCATTCAGGCTAGCCCTTCCTCGGGAAAACAGGGAAACCTGACTCTTCCAGAGAGGCCGCTGCAGAAGCGTGAGATGAACGGACATTAGGAGGACAGCAGCGCAGCTTAGAGCAAGAGACTGAAAACCAGAAGAGGTTATTCCAGACGATGCTGGTACTGCCAGCACATGAAAGGCTTTGCTGACGTTTCTGTTCGCTGCTGGGTGTGCCAGGAGGGCGAAGGGGATCTCAGTGGGAGCCGCAGTGCTCGTGCGACATGAAGTAATCTGAGTTCAAGGCATGAAGCGACTGGTGAGCACTTCACGCGGGTCCAGGAGGCCGCACTGCCTCGCTACCGCTATCCACGGCAACTGGAGAAGTGCCTGCTTCTGAATCAACATGCCACAGCTGTAAGATGCAAAACTGATTTAATATAAACTGCTGATTAAACGTAGTGTAAAAACACTGGTAACTGAGCTTTGCCCTGGCAGGATTTACCAAGTATCTTCTGTCCTCTGTTTTGTTAACACCAACTTTCTATCCTGCTTTGACGACTTGTGGCTTTTGTGGCTCTGTGTAATCCATATCAAATCCATACCAGAGGGCAATCTGGTCTGGCAACAAAACCATTCTTCCATGCAGAAATTCATAAAGAATAATCTTATTACAATAATTCGTAAAGTGCCCTCAGGAAGGTGCTGACGATGCCATGACATTATAGAAACAATATACAATCATCTGACGCATTATTTTCCAAAAAAATCCTCCAAAGCAAAAAGGGAAAATATAAAAGGAGGGGAACAACAAATATAGAGGCAAATACTGTTGGTCTAATAATAGTCAAATTAGTTATGGAACACTTCATAATTAGTCTCAGAGACTAATTGGGGAGGGGGAAACTGGCAGGAGTATCTTGGAAAGATCCTACATTTTGTAAGTTCTACCAAAGTAAATGCACTGTGTTTGAAGATGAAATGACTATGAATTACTATGAGGTATTTTACTATGGAAATTGAAAAAAATACAACATCCAAAGAAATATCATGACCCATGTTTTACTAAGAGGAAAGAAGATAATAGAGTGGCTATGTATATCCACTGACCTTTAGTGTCTTGGGTTTTATATTTATGAAGAAAACAATCTTTCTCCTCCCTGCTGATCCCAGATTTATACATATACATATGTAACTACATAATGTATAGTTTCATATATATACTCATAAACACGTATGTGTACATATTTCAGGGTCTTACTAGATTTCAGAATCTAATTTTTCTTTTTTGCTTTCTTTAATGAGTTAAAGAGCACACAGGGCAAAAAATCCAGTAATTGGGTGCATGCAAGCGTGTCTTGCCACTTGTGCATGTAAATCACACCATTTGTAAGCAACTACAGCAATAGTGTGCTCAAATGAGGCATCTGATTGCCCAATTAACTTGTTCAAAGAAAATCAGATGATAACCTTCAGTAGCTCCTATTACAGATTTTACTTCTCAGTACTACTTCACTGAATTCGTAGTGTATAATCTAAACGACCACATTGTTGGTTTGTGCTTTTACATAGGCATAAGCAGCAATGCACACTTCATAAAGCTATCAAGTCAACTTCAGACCAAATTTTAGAGAGCTGTTTAGATACTTTGAGTCCCCTTATTTCAGTAAGAACGAGCCATCTTAGACAACTGCCTGTCCTCATGGACAGAGAAACAGAAGTACCCAAATCTATCCAAGTCCTGCAAGTAGAGAAACTTGTTAATTTGTGTATCAAAATGACTTAAGAAATGGACTTTTACCATAAATACGTTGCTCCTTTGCTGCTGAACTTCTTTTTCTGAGATGATGTTGTGGAAAGGGGGCATTTTCTTTTCTCTACCAACTTGTTGTGTCAAATAAATCTTAGCAACTATAATAGGGTGAAAAAAAAAAGCTGAGCAAACCTTATCTTAACAACAATCTCTCAAATAAGAGAAAAGGAAGCAAAGAGCAGAACTGCTGGGCTGGATCGTGTCCCTGAACAGGTATTACATATAATCCTAGCAGCTGCATTGACCAGTTCTTTATAGGCCTCCTGCAGCAACAGGTGCGCTGGTCCAACTCTTCATCATCCCTCAGGAACGGGGGAGCAGCAAGACAAGCTGCTGGACCCCCATTATATTCTTACAGGTTTCAAGCAAGCATCCCTGGATTTCTTCCCTCAACTTCTTGTTGTGACAGGATCTGCTGGTGACTTTCCATTGCTGCTTTTCTTTCTCCAGAGTATCAAAATCCAATTTGGTACTTAAATTACTTCGTTCCACTCCACTGGTCTGTGCCTGGTTTAAAAATCTTCCAGGAGCACTGCTTGTCCTTCTTGCGAATTCAGACTTTGCTTGGCTCCCATAAACAAACAAATGAAAATCCCAACTCCTCCCCACGAACCCTTTCCAAAAATAGAATATAATCATGATCATTTGTATCAGAATTATTTAGCAGTCTCCAGTCTTAGTACAGCTTTTGCTGAGAAAACTGTAGCTTATAGGACTCTGAAGTGTTTATTAGAAAGCTTTCAAAAAGAGATCTTTGTTTCAGGAAAAGAAAAAGTGTTCAGTTTAGCGAATACAGACGTTCACAGCACAGAGACTGAAATGGTTAAAAATGATCCTAGAGAGCAAGTAGCTCACAGAGTTAGCAAAAAATTAATTTTTTCCTTTCTTTTACAGAAAAACATTACTAGCTGCTCTGGTTTCCATACTTAGTAAGACAGATTTCTGCTGTATGCTCTTGGGTTTGCTTGCCTTGGTTTTTTTTTCTCTATTGCTCCACACAGGTTTTGATTAGTGCTTTTCCTTGGCTACAAGTGCTTCACTTTGAAATACAAAGCTCTTTTTAAAAAAAAACACCCCAAAAAACAAAACCCCCAACACCACATCACTGGAGGGAAAACGGGAAGTGATACAGTGCAGCTGCAGCAATCTGGTTCTGCTGTTGTCCTCCCCCATCCCAAAATCCTCTGCATAATTGCCAATCTTTAGTCGATGAACCTTTGGCAGGCCTTCTTCCATCGGCAGGCAGTACACCACATATCTCTGTTCTCCATCCCATAGACCTTCCGACACTTTTTCCCCTCCCCTCTAGGCTTCCTGTCAGAGAGAAAGGGAAGCTTGTTAATGAGATGCAATTGTAGCTTTGCTTTATCACCCTAAGATCAGGACAACAACCTCAATGGAGCACAGCAGGCAGAGAACCTCCCAGCTTTTCACAGGGTTCATTTTGAGTCAACCGGGAGCTGACAAAGCAGACACACATACATTGGTGGCTCCTTCTCACCTGGCTTCTACAGCCTCTGAGCCTGCTCCTCTGCTCCAAGGATGACCCCAGGAACGTACAAGCCCTGACTTTAGCCAGAGACTAAACCCAGTCTGCATAAATGGTACTTCAGCCAGGGTAAGTGCCGAGCCGTACTGCGCAGCCACAGCTATTCCACAGGACATCCTGGCCATGTCAGGCACGAGCCCCCGTCGCTGTACAGCTGTGGTACCAGTATTCCGCATAGCTCTGAGCAGCAGATCTTGGCTACCAGCAGGTAGCAGCTGTACAGAAGAGGGGAAAAAGCTACCAGCTCCTAAGCTTGCCTGTCCTTCCTGCATGGTTTGCTCTGTGCTCACTGACCAAAAACCAAAAAAGTGGCCAAAAAACTAGTTTTAACCCTTTCCCTCATTAGCAGCACATTCAGCAAGGCAGACAAGTATGTGCTTTTAAAGCTGCAATGACTGTCCTGTTTTCCATCTTATAACTGCACTCAAAAAATTGGTAAGTGTAGAAAATGACCAAAGTAACTGTTAAAATGGAACTTTTTTTACTCAGTACTTTGCAAGCCAGCAAACCTGAGGAGTGATGCTACATACAGCAAGAAACCCCCCCCCTCACTCCAGCAGTGCCATTGGTCCTGATGTCTTTAGATTAAGTAACTGTGCAGACAGAATTGTTTTACACCCGTATCACATGCTGCATGGCACACATGGGAATTGCCCAGTGATTCCTCTCTTGCATACTTACACATTTTTTGAATACTGAATGTTCATTAATAGTCACAATCCGTGAATTGAGCAGATCCTAAGTTTGGTCTGTAGCATGTGCAATGATCTGAGAGTCACAAAGAAAAGTACGAAGTCTTCCTTTTATTTTGTTTTAGAGTACAGTCACCTTCGAGACTGTGAGAAATAGTTTCTTTACTGTAAGAAATGTAGTGTCACAGTTTGAATTCTTAACATAACTTTCTGAATGCTTTTAAAGCAGACTCTGCTCATACATCAGTTAGCTTTAATGGAATTGAATGTAGCTTATGCCCAGGAAGACAAGGTATAGGAAGCTTTGCTTTGATGTAATTTACTATAATATATGGTTTCTTATCATTCAGCTGAAGCCAAATACCAGACTGACTGAACGGTGACGAACACACATGACAGCCCAGCCTTTCAGGGGAAAAAAGCAAAGCCAGGTAATGCAGCCCAGGATGCTTCAGCTGGAGCAGTGAATCTGGGCAGTGTTGCTCTGCAGGGCAATTTAGATCTGCAACTGGACTCCAGACATGCCAGCTTAAGGCCTGCAGTTGTACTCCAGAGTCTGCCTTTTCCATTTCACAACAACTCACTTTTCTCCTGATCTTTACTTTTGATGGTAATGAAAAGCAAAACAGCCCAGAACACTTCGCAGTGTCCTAGCAAAGAACTGCCCAGCAACTGCAATCACAGTTGGTGGTGAGGTTTTTCTTTCTTTGGCCATTGACATCTTATTTACTAAATGCCCTCCAGGTTCTGAGGCTGCTGGTCTGTCAGCAGGAGCTAATGGTCCCATACCTCAAGCCAAATGCAACTCTGGGCGGTGATGAAAGAACTGTGTGGGACTGTTTCTGCTCTCCACTCCCTGCAGGACGATTATGAGTTGGCGAGACCTGTCAATACAGACAAAAAAGCTGCTTATGAAGAACATACGCATACGAATGCAGTATCAACACTTTTCCCAGAAAAGGCAATTCACGATGCATGGTGGCAAGGATACCCAGGAGAGGTCATTACAGAACATACACACATAACTTGCTGTTGTAGATCTATTTAGAAAGATGCTCATTTAGCATTAGATAGATTATATTATATATTTTCCTGTTCTACCAGTCACCCTAGCAGAGCAAACCAGAATACAGATCAGCACCACTGCAGGGTTTGGCAATATGGAAAATACTATATTAATTCTTACTTAAGAACTCTTGAATAGCTCTTACGAAAACTTGCTCCAATTCAAGCATAGAAATTAAATGGAAAAATAAACTCCGTCCTGTGCTGAGATCAATACCAGTAACCCCTGTGACATAAAGGGATTTCACGTGTTGCTCCCATCTGTGAGTTGTCACTCGTTGTGGAGATAGCCCTGGGAAGGGGGTTTGCTGCAGGGCAGTTATAATGTGGCCCTCAAGGTTCTAATGGGAGCACAAGGCAGCCCTTCTGATCAAGGCTGCTGCTAGCAACACGTACTGCATTCTTTCCTTTATTCTGCACTGTGAACCACCTCAGCAGGTGTCTGTCCTCCTTTGTCAATGCTCCGGAGCAAAGGGCGAGCTTGGTCCTCTGAGACTTCCCAAATAAGCCTCCTCCATGAGCCTGGGGGTTGGCAGCCTTATTCGGGTAATCACATGGCATAAAGCTTGGCCTTAAATAATCCCTACATCATTTACTGCCAGGTTCTTATTTTGCTCCTGGGTAAAGGCCACATTTAAAGCACCAGAAAAAAATTATGAACACTCATTTTTTGTTGCGTACAGAACAGAAAGCTTCATTTGGGCATCTGGTGTGTGGAGTCACTGCCTCCTGCAGCCACAACTGCAGGTACTGTTAGAGTTCCCTGCATTGCTCTGACTTCACTCCTGCCCTTTTGAAGTCTCACGGTATCTGGAAGAAGGGGAACTGACCTGACTTGAACAGAGTTACTGAATGTGCTTTGATTCTTGATATAAAGCCTGTTTTATAGCTAGTCCACTGTAGCAAAAAGCTAGTACTTGTAATGAGTGCGGACACTCTTTAGGCTGGTAACTATGGAAATTGCTGCTGTAACTCCATGTGCAGCTCACACTGAACAAGTTTAAACCATTACTGATATATGAAATATATGTCCAAAACTTGAAGGAAATTTACTCTCTGCCTGCTTACCAAAAGTCACATTTTGTACATGCAGAGACCACACCAGCTCTTTCTGTCCTATCACTCCAGAATGTTGAGGGGACCTTGTTGTTTACTGCTTTTTTCCCTATCTTTTATCAACCACTTCTCTTGTTTTACTGAAGAGTGATTGAAAGACTGAAGATAAAATGCAAAGCAGTCACACTTTTCTAATCTTTGGCATTTACCACACACTGCACCGTTTTCCAGTCATTACCAGCAACTGGAGACCTCCGGTCAATACTTCCAGGGTTCTTAAATTAAAACCCAGGATTTTTTTCTATCTACTACTACTATCTGATACTCAGTGTATTCCCTGGTTACCATTGAACAAAAAAGTACTCTGATGGTCTCCTATGTTATAACCAATTACCCTGAAAGCTTCCGAACACAGAACAGGATTGAGCAGTAATTGCAGCGTGCAGACTGTGCCTCCTTTCTCATTCTCCAGAGAGCGTCTCTGCACAATGGTTTGCACAGATGGGCATGCCAAGGCAGCTAAACTGCACTGAAGTTGAGCTGTAGTGTATTCTGATATGCTCTGCAGCAGGTCTAAACAATACCAGGTAGTTGTACTCCTTTGTCGGTGACAGTAAGAGAAGGGTGTGAGAAGTCAATCTTTGCCCTTGGAGGTTTTCACGTTTGAAGTGTTGTCTAATACAGAGAACTAATGTGGAACAAAAGTGTATGTTTGAAGCGAGGACCTGGAGTTTCCAGTTACATCTCCTGGGGGAAACTGTGCTTACAGAGAAGCTTTGTGATCTGTAAACATCAGATTATCAAACTTAAAGGTCTTCTCTCCTGTTCAACCTTTTTGGGTCTTATGAGCAGGCAGGTAAAACAGTATCACACAGCAGAGATCACAGTGGCATTCAATGATTTTTATCCTACGTGACGTAAAAGTGGTACTATATGGTCATTATGTTAACTCCTCCAGTACCAAGAGACAGACTCCACTGCTGTTTGTCAAAAAACCCCAAACCACAGAAGAAGACTATTGAAATTTGTATCTCTTGTGGACTCCGCTGCTGACATAGCAGCATAGGTCTAGAAAGAAGCCTGTTCAAAACCAGGATGCAACAGCTCTTTCAGGGGTCAAGGACAGAATGGCCCCATTCCCACATCACCAGTAACATCAAGAAATGTACAGATTTATGCACTTTTGCAAATCTGTAACTAATCCTTTAATCCTCAGTGGTTTGTCCAGGCCAAAAAAGTGTCCCAAAGCCATTGTAGGAAACTGCTTGAATAAAGATTAAGGGTCAGGCAAAAAGTAGTTTGGACTTATTCTCTGAAGTTCCTTTGGGTGCTACAGACATGCACCTAATCTCAGGGACGTATGTATGTATATAACTGCATGAGTTTATAGTATGCTGGCTCTGTCACATGGTCTGGGCTTAAATGAACCTCGTAAGAGAAGGAAAAAGTCCCCTGAGCTATAGCTTTCCTAAAGTAGTTACATTCAGTGTAAGGGTGAGAATTGACAGAGCCCTTTTTATAAAGCAATAGCAAAATTAATCTGAAACAGGAAAAAGGAAACTTTCATTTAATATACAGTTACTTAACATTACTTTGTATTTGCACCCTCACATACTGCATATAATTTTCCACTGCAGGCAAGCCTTAGTAATTCATAAATGTTCTCACTGATGACAGAATAGTCAAATGTGTGCAAACCTAGAAGGTTTTTTTCTTCTTCTCTTTTTTTTTGCTTAACAGCCTTATAAATGTTGTTAGACAGAGATATAAAGGCAATTCATAGGTTCCTTGAGTGGTTTATAATGCTGCCATCATCACTGCTTCCCCAGGCTTTTGTACTGGGATTATTTTGAAACTGTACTTAAATCACTGGCATCTCCATGCAGTTCTCAGAGAGTGATTGGCATTTCTTAAATTCTTTTGAGAACTCTCAAGTCTACAGCCACAGATCAATGTTGTTGCTTGACGAAGTAAACTCAATGCATACGTGTCTAATCCTGTCCTCTTACGTGTCTGATTTACAATGTGGCTAATTGTGTTTTTGGATTCCCAACACTCCTGGTACCAATTTCTGCTACTCCACAGAAGGAGCCAGTTTCATAATTGCTCTGTATCAACCCCATTGCTGGGAAATCAAATTCTCGAGGAACTTTATGGATAGCACACTCTGTCAAGGCACCCTCGCTGCGATTGCTGCCAGCGTGATGTCTTTCACTGTTAGTTGCTCCTTGATGGAATTTAATAAATATTCATTGGCAGAGTGCAATGTAATTGATTCAGCCACTTTCATTTTTTATCAGCCCTGCAGGATGCCGCAGCCTCTGCAGAAAATCTCCAAGGTTTGCCAAAAGTTGACAGTAAGAAGCTTTGGAGATTTACTTGGTGAAGAGAAGGGAGGGAAATGGTATCTCTTATCGCCATGTCTAATAGTCACTGTTAGGAGGAAAAAAAAGCTATATGGTTCTCTGGATGAGCAATGCGCTTTGTATATCACACTTTAAAAATTCATAAATTCATGAAGTGTAATATTAAATGAGATGTTATGATAGCAAAAAGGGTTTTGATTACAGAGTATCAATTTATACTGAAAAATGCTTTACAGTAAGAATTAGGATACATTAGATTAATATTTATTTCTACTCATTATACAGAAGATCTTCCAGTACTCATAGTGATTTACTTTGAGTTTTTACCGTGCTAGGCACTAGAAGGCCAAGCCCTTTAAACTCTACTTAAAGGTTTCTAACTCCCCCTACAGTACCCACACCTATATTGCAGTACGTTTGGGACTACTGAAATCAGTGTTCATTTCTGCAGCCCTGGTTATGAAATGAGGCTTTGTACGCCTACTTTTTTGAAGAAAAAAAGGGTCAGAGCTGACTTTACTTCTAAGACATACATCTAATACATCTTCATTAAAAAGTTGACAAACCGCAATACATATTAATATAAAAATGAAGTATGTATTGAATCTATTTTCTGTATAAAACAGTAACTTTCTGCTATCAATAGGGACTATACATATGTAGCCTCCTAGAATCAGACTTTGCATTTCATCTTATTGTTTGTTTCAGTTGCCTTTCAAATATGCTTCATCTTCAGAGTCCACTGAGATAACAGCTCTACTGCTTGAACCCAGTTAGGCTGTTAACACAACCATCACCTCGCTGATTTTTTGTCTAGTTTTGTAAGGAATCCTAGTGGCACAAAAAGGAACATACAGCTCTGCACCTACCAGAATGGTTTTTTGTCAGCATATTTTTAAAAGAATGTATACTATATATCCAATTCTTTGCTTGTAGACACCCAAACATATATAATTAGTTTCCTTTTGGTATCTGCTATATCAAATCTACTTTCATCATGAGGTACTATGAAACAAAACAGAAAGCTCTAAAAACTTTCTTTCTTTTTCTGTCATTCACTTACTGGAATGCCGGTGAAGGTAACAGGTGGCGACTGCCAGGAGATGCTAAAGCTACTGCCATTGGGAGTGAACTTTGCTGACCCTGGAATGTTCACTGGAGGAGTGGCCTGTGTGGAAAGAAAATATTATTCCAGTAAGAAGAACCATTCCTCTCCCAAAGCATTTCAAGGGGTCTTTCACTCCTTGAAACTGTGTATCTACAAGAGACTTTCCAAGGTGGAAAAAAACCTGCATGGTGACAAGCACTATAGCCTTATGAGAGGGGAAAATCACGGATAAGCCAGTAAGGAAAGGACATATTGTATCTTAAAACCTCGTTTAGAAAAGGCAACAGCTCTCAGAAGAATCCACGCAAAACCCACAAAAGCTAGATCTGATGAAAACCCACTCAAAAATCAAACTTCATATACAAATAACTTAAAATAATGCCAGGTAGCAGCAAAACCACTGTAAATGATCACCTCTTCCATAGCAATAAACAAGGCAGCATCTAAACTGACGGGGCAGCTGGTTTAAACAACAGAAGACCGGATAGCAAGGCTTCCTGGACAATGAATGGGGTAATGATCAGCAGTAAAGGCTTGTTTATCAGATAAATGCTGTTAAGAATCATCTCAATTAAAACAGTCTTTCCTATTAAAAACAAGGAGCTGAAAATCATCCTTGGGATTCAGAAAATAGCTCTTACAAGACTAAGCTAAAGTAAATACCTGAAGGACCCCTGGGCCCCTTGAACTCTTCTGTTCTTCCCATCTGGGATGCAATACCCAAATCTGAGCTCAGACTGCTGAGCATCTTTCATCTTGGGCCTTCCCTCTGGTTTTCTCACTGGGCTATGAGCCCTCAGGAATTCTTCCCTGCCTATTTTTGAATCCCATTTAACCTACAGAGTCAGAAATTCATACCTTTGCAGTTACCCTGGCCAGCAGTAGCATGAGCAGCCACCATGAACATAGCCTCCCTTTGACTCTTGAATTTCAAGCTGTCACCACAAAGAAGGCTCCCCAGTTAAAACCTACAAAGAACCTGCTATTAAAAATGAGTTTTACTTCTGCCTTTAAGTTGCCTGTGCTTGACAATAACGCAATACACTTGAGCAGTGTTTGCGTTTGAGGCTGCTGAAGTTATCCCACCACTTCAGGGAAGAGTGCTTCCCTGAGCCCCCACCAGGCAGAGAGGAGTGATGACAAGCTACAAGCTCATAGTCCCCATTAAAGATAATCTTCAGAGTAAACAAGTGCTGATGCAATCCCTGGAGTCTCTCCAAGGAAGAGAAACCAAGACCACCGGATGCCTCCATGTATGGCAGCAATGCTCTGCAGGCCAAGCCTGATGACAGCTCCAAGAGAATCCACACAGACATGTGGAGCATCGCCCACTGAGCTCCATAAAACATAAAAACCTTGCTGAAAGGCACCAAGAAAAATCTGGCAACTCCAGATGGTACCAGTAGTGCTTCATCACAACCCTGGCCAAACAGGAAGGCGTGAATGACCACAGTGCTCCCGCCAGAAAGAACTGGAGGCTGCTTGGTGGACAGCGAGGTGGCATTGCCTCCACTCAGCATCCCACTGGGATATCAGCTCAAAGCTGGGGTCAGCAGGATGACTTCCTCACCTATTTGAACAAGACCTGCAAGGGAAATCCTAGATGCTAGAAGGGCCCAGCTGTAGCTCTTCTGTAGCAAAATTTAACAGGTACAGGCACTAGTTTCATAATGACAAGTCAAGAAGTTTAAAACGGCTGTAATTTGTTTCCTAAAATACCATGGTGCTCAAACCTTTTTCTCTGTGCCTAAGTATTTACCTCAGACACGAGTGGACTTACACAGTCAATCACTCTGTTCATTTGTTTCCCAGGCATTCATCTTTGGTCGCCAAGCAGAGTCACGTTTTTCAGTCTAAGATTTCTAACAGTCTCTTCTAAAAAGTAAGCAACCATAACATTACAATGAGCTGAAGAGTTTCTACACCCCAATCTCTCTTTGCTTAGAGACCTCCATTTAATTTCCAATCAAAATATATTCATGGATAATTTATAATTATTTATTTGTGCCAACACTACCTTATATCTGAAATAGGATGTGCTCCTCCTTTTCCTCTCTCATTTTTAACCTCTCACTTTCTTCCCAGACAGCAATCCCATCCTGTCCTTCCCCCCTTCTGTGCCTGAACTGTCAGTCCCAGGGTTGGAGAGATCCTCCATGTCCTCCCTGACCTCATCTTCGCTCTGATCATCTTCTTTCTACCTCTTCTAATAGGAGTCTGTCACCTTTCAACTTGGTTGACCAGCACCCGACTCAGGATCTCAGCTGAAGTTATCTCAGGGGTCCTGTACAACGACATTAAACATTGCTGTTTCTCCCAGGTATTTCTAACCCAAAAAGCTAACAACTTTTTTTCGCCCTGTCACAGCTCTATTGTTGTTGGCTCACAGTCATTCTGCGCTTTATCAATTAACATCAGTTTCCTCCTCATGTAATTTTCTAACCACCTCAGTTTATAGCAGAAAAATCTCATTATCAAAGAATCACAGAACAGTTTGGGTCGGAAGAGACCTTAAAGCTCACCTGCTTCCAAACCCTCCTGCCATGGGCAGGGACACCTTCCACCAGACCAGGTTGCTCAAAGCTTCATCCAACATGGCAAACAACTTCTAGAGATGACACATCCACAACTCCAGTGCCTCACCACCCTCACAGTGAAGAATTTCTTCCTTGTATCTAATCCAGATCTACATTCCTCCAGTTTGAAGCCATTCCCCCTTGGCCTATTGCTACATGCCCTTGTAAAAAGTCCCCCTCCAGGTTTCTTGTAGACCCCATTCAGGTACTGGAAGCTGCTCTCAGGTCTCTCCAGAGCCTTTTCTTCTCCAGGCTGAACAATCCCAACTCTCAGCCCATCTCCAGAACAGAGGTGCTCCAGCCCTCTGATCATCTTTGTGGCCTCCTCTGGACCTCTCCAGCAGGTCCATATTCTTTTTCTGTTGGGGGCCCCAGAGCTGAACGCACGTGGGGTTTCATGTTCTGCCATTAAACTGCATCAAAACCCTGTTATTAAGATCACCCAGTCATGTAAGCATTATATATAAATCTTTGTACTGTTGACGTCTCCCAAGTTTATTTTATACTATCTGTGTAGTACCCAAATGATTTAATGAAAATGAGATCAGGCCCCAAAACAGCTTTTCATTCAGCTCCACTAATAACATTCAACAGCCCTCTCAAAATATCTCACTGCTGTTCTCCCTGACTCCCCAGCTCTCTACCCTAAAAAACACTGCCTAGTTGCTGTAAGATTAAATGCTCTCCTCAAATCCACAGGAATTTGTTCTTTTGTACTGCCTCTTTGTTGTTTACATCTCTCATCCAAGGAAGATGTTAAGACTGTTCTAGCATAAGCTTTCTTTGGGGTTCCTCCATTGCAGTTCACCTCATTTGCTGTAATTCCCACATTTTCTTCATTTATTCTAAATCTTTCCTCCTCCTTAGGATGGGGTCAGAGAAGAGACTCAGGATGTGCCTCCTCACTTCCCCTTTATACCTTTTCTTACTACAGGTATTACATTTGCCATTCTCAGGTCATACAGGAAATGGCAGTTAACAGATCTGGTTTGGATTCTTGTGACCCAGCTTTGGATTCTGCATTTTTTCCCCTTTTTTATCAGGAATACTGGGATTCCTGTTACCATTATTCAGCCTCCTTTATCTGAGTTCCTCGAGCTGTGAATTTTGCCTTTTCATTCCAAATGAAGTAATTTCCACTTTCATGCTCTCATGCACATGAGATATTACCTTCATCACTATGTTCCTATTCAATATTTTCAGTTTTGATACAGATAATACAAGAAGTAAAAAAAGTTTTGGAATTCTGCACAAGGCTCACTCCAGCAAGCAAACTGCAGGAAACGTGGTGGTATGAAAGATGCTGTCGTCACCTTCTATTCTATTCCATGAAGTTCTATTTGAACTACAATTTCCTCAGGCAAGTGCTTTACTCAAAGGCTGCTCATAAAAAAGGACTGAGTGAGTCTCCAAGTTGCAGGGGAGACTGTCACCACTGCAAATCCCAAATGAAGTAAGACTCTTCTCAGCAGCCTAGGCTTGCAGGACTTACACTAGACTTAAAAGAAAGTCTTTCTCCTAGATGGCTTGATCAATCCCCACGTTGGTGTGCTACCTGATGCAGCTCCCACCTGAGATGCCAAGCTTCCATCCATGCTTTCTGCAATGCAAGAGAGCCTAAAACAACCCTGTGAGTTCTGTGTGGTTCCCTCTCTGTGGTGCCCTTTTTAGTGAGTACTCCAGACACCCAGCAAAAAGGTTTCATCTGTACAATGCTGTATACAGAAAGTTATTGCTTCTGACAAATTCAACAGAGTCCAGTTCTCCAGCGCATATGCAGGTCATGGACCACGCTACTTCAAAGCCTTTATTCTTTTCTCATATGGTATCCACACCAAAACGTGTCAAATTTTAGTGCACTTTTGAGATTAATGTTTTCTGTCCAGACTTGGAAGTTTTGAGAACAGCAGGTTTTAGATCTGATTGGATTTTTGCCATTTGCAAAGCATTACCTCTAAGAGTAGGAGGATACCATATATGCCTTTTCATTCTTTCTGCCCTGCTTCACATATGCAAACTGACATCTCACACTGTACAAATAAAGGAAACGAACTGGTCCTGGCATCCCTTGGGTACTTGCCAACAGTACAAGCAGAGCTGAAATGAAGGCTCGGGGTGGGGGGATTCAGCTCACTGAATGAGAGTTTTTACAATGTAGGAGCCCACATCTGAGCACATCACCTTGGGCTCTCCTTACGGTCAGTGAAGGATTAACTGATGTAGGCAGTGGCATACAGAGAGCAGCTCTTCCCAACTTTAAGTATGCACCTAAGTGTGGCTGGATAAATAGCACTCCAATACCCACTGGCTATGGTGGGAGCACAAACAACTAGCTCAGAAGCAGACATCTAAATTTAAATGAGACAAACCCCTTGAGCTGCCCTGAAAACTTTTCAACCTTTCAACTTTTTGACCTAAACCTAAACTTGGCTTTTTAAATTCCAGACACCGTGATCCGACATTTCTTTATGCGTTAATGACATCAGTGCAACTGGGGGAGTTTGCTCTCACTGGCATTACCTGGTAAGCATGGTCCGTGTGTACGAGGTAGAGGTTGGTAGGAGCTGAGCGGCTCAGTGGTGTCATCAATTTAGTCTCGGTTTTGGCACAGGAAGTTTCAGGACGGATTGCATCTTGGGTGGGAAAGGCAGGAGGAGATGCTAAAGATGGAGAGACTGGGGAAAGACTGCTTAAGCCATCAGCTACTGAGTCCGTATTAAGCCTGATTTCTGTGTAGTAAAAATCCTCCTCTCCATCACTGTAGTCAGACTCTCCTACACGTCTGTATCAAGACAAAGAATGAAAGACTGATTAAATGAAAGCAAGAACCCCAAGGTAAATTTTGAAATCTAGATACATGAGCAAATATATTCATACTGTCAATAAATTACTATTCCCAGTTTTAACCATACCTACTTTATCAGCTATCTGGCTGCAGGGAAGGGGAAGAGGAAGAGAAAATCATCTAGTCTGAAGGGAAAAGAAGAATTAGATTTTTTTTCTCCCTGTGTTCTTCTTGACTAATTCTTTGACCTTGGAGTAGATGTTTAACTTCTATCAGCTTCTCATTCCTAACTATTGAAGTTTACAAGAATCTCAATGCACTTTGACCTCAAAAATGACAAAGCAGTCACAGAAGAACAGGAAAAGATAAAAAACACTGGCAAGATATACTTCAGTAATGTTATAGCAAACAGTAATCTTATCATAAGTTACTTAATTAAACCAAATATAGTCACGGCTGTGGTTCACCGTAACCTTCTTTGGTATAAGAGAAGAACCTGCTAGCAGTCTCACCATGCAACTCATTCAGACACAGGTACAGAAGGGACGTATGCGGGCTGGCTTGCCACTGCAAGACTTTCTGGTCCTGCTCTCCAGAAGCAGACTTACTGAAGGAGGAGATGTAAGAAGTTTAATTGTCCCTGCATCCCTGGCACTATCTATCTGCTGCATGTTTGAGTGCAAATGCTAGAAGCAAAGCAGCCCAGTCAAGCAGTAGTTCCCAGGAGGCCACATGTCATCTTGAAGCCCAAACCAAACTACTCCTTTAGCACATTAATAATCCACATGCTATACGGACGTAAGTCACAGCGCATACATTCATATTTTCTCCTGAATCTTCCATATGGGAAATTTGAGAGCCCTAAACATCTTCCTGGCTGCATGTCCATGTCAGGGCTGAACACGGTCTCTCCTTTTCCAGGCATATACCCTAAAACCAACACCTGGCCAGTTCTTCAGCCTGCTTGATTGGATACCTCTATCTGTGGTCCTCTCACCACCTTACCCAGTAGAACTTGTTGAGAGAGCATGTGTTCAACAGTTTGAAAGGCTCTACCAGAAGCACCATACATCAAACTGCAGCCACACTGTCCTGGTTTCAGCAGTACCAGTCATTTCTTCTCCTTCTCGGTAGCTGGTGCAGTGCTGTGTTTTTGACTTTCAGTCTGGGAACAACGCTGATAACACTGATGTTTTTAGTTGTTGCTAAGTAATGTTTACTCTGACCAAGGCCTTTCTCAGTCTCATGCTCTGCCAGGGAGGAGGGGAAGCCGGGAGGAAGCAGAGACAGGACGCCTGACCCAAACTGGCCAAAGGGCTATTCCATACCACAGCCCGTCATGCCCAGTATAGAAACTGGGGAGAGTTACCTGGAAGGCCCAGATCGCTGCTCGGGTCGGGCTGGGTATCGGTCGGCGGGGGGTGAGCAGTTGTGTCCTCTCCCCTTGTTATTCCTCTTATCATTATTAGTGGTAGCAGTAGTGGTTTGTATTATACCTTAGTTACTGGAGAGCTGTTATCTCAACTCGTGGGAGTTACATTCTTCCGATTCTCCTCCCCATCCCTCCGGGAGCGGGGGGAGGATGAAGGGAGGGAGTGAGTGAGCGGCTGCGTGGTTCAGAGGTACTGGCTGGGCTTGAACCACGACACAAACTCACCAAAACTCCTCTCTTAGGCAACGTTACAAACTCCAAATTCCAGGGAAGTTCTGCTGTTTAGTTCTCCCTCTCCTGTGCCCCAAAAATGATCTCCCCATAATACACAGGACAAAGCAACATTCATAACTGCATGTTGAGAGACATTTTCTCTGTTACTGACTGCTTCACTCTTCAGAGCCTAAGCCCAACAGCAATTACTATGCCCTTTGCAAGACTTTCCTGAGTTTCACACCAGACTACATCCTCATGGTCACTTTAATTTTTAAGCACTGGGTAACAGACTACACAACAGAGATGTATTTCCACATACCTAGCGGCTGAAGACCATAAGTCCCCACTGTAATTATATACAAGACAGCTGGGTCACTCAGCAAATTGCACTGGAGATTTCAGTTGCAAACTAAAGCTCTGAAACAAGCTCATGTCATGCAAGATTCATCTGATTTTGCTTCTAGTCCAAGTAACATACACATGGAATCGCAGCTCAGTTTCTTTTTCTTGTGTTTCTTAGGTGGCTTGTTTGGAGTTTTTCGACATTAATTTGACTCAGAACTAGCACAAGCACCTGATCTGATGTGAAATAAGGCTGGAAAGTATTCGTGCAAGACCCTGAAACTTGCTGTCTTTCACACCACATCAGCCTGGATGTGACGTGCAGAGAGCTGCACCTGTAAATGCCACTGAGTTGTGCAGCCATTATTAGGGCAGTGCAGTGACCTACAGCTGAATTTGATCTTCCAGCAAAGGTCACAGAAGTTCAGGAAAGAAAGTGCCTAGCTGATGGAATAAGTTCCCATTCCCCTTGATGCCCTACTCCAGAATTTCCTCAGGAACCTAGGGATCTGAGACAGAAAAGCCAAGGACAACCCAGATCATCTCCCCAGCCAAGTGCAACTGCTCTCCTTCTATCCTAAATCCTTTGGACTTCTGAAGAGACTGCTTTCTTACCCAAGGTGAATGGTCCGTATGTGTTTCTGAATCCCTGCAGCTGTGCTCAGTACCTTCCCGCAGTTTTTCCACAGGCATTTGAACATCACCTTCATGGAGTTCTGAAAATTGTAAGTAAAGCAACATTAGTGGTATGGAAGATAGAAAACCCAAACCCACCCAAACAGATAGACAGGTACAAAACACTGTGTAGGTTCAGAGCCCCTAGCTCCAAATCTGTAATGATGTAATAGTCTCTGTCAACAGGGTCATCCTACTGAACTCAGCAGAATCCCAGTGAAAAGCTGCAGGAGCAGCTTGTGACAAAACTTCACCTCTCTCCACTCTTCGGCACAGCTTTTCATTTGCAAGCTCCAGTTCCTGTTTCCCCACTAAAGGAGGCAGATGATACAAAAACTTCCTACACTTCTTTGGAGCCTTTCAAAGAACAACTGGTGAGGACTTCTTATTTCATGCAAGGCATCTTCTTAAATTAAGATCTTCCTAAAGCAAGCTCTTATGAATATTTCTGCTTGTGAATTCTGCAACACATAAAAAATACTGTGCTAGAAAACTGTAGCTTCTGCTATGACAATATTCACCCATGAGCTGGCAAAACCCGTTTTTATTTCATTCAGAAGCTGCTGTGACCTTCACTTGGACAAGAGAATGAAAAGCCATCTGTCAGTGTCCAACATTTTAAAAAGAATATGTGTATAATATCATTTTAATATTTTTCTTATATTATTTAATATAACTTCATTGGCCTAAACCGAGTTATCACTGATTTAGAGCACAGCCAACAAGGCTGTAAGCAGCCCAATCTTCAATATTTTAAAGACTCTGGAGAAAACCAGTCTTAATTTAAAGCCCAGTATGTGGTAACAAACAACACAGATCCAGCAGGGCTGTATAGATTTTTTTTAAAAGCTAATTTTACCACAAAATGAAACCTTAAGAACGTTAAGAAAGTATATAATAATTTTTACTTCTCAAAAATCATTTTCTCTATTATTACAGAACATATTATTAAAGAAAACATGAGGAAGAGCTTTAAAATACTGTATGACTATCTTATAATTTTAGTTACATCTAAGATTAAGTAAGTATTTTCATATAAAGCTCAATTGAGCAGAACAAGGAGGGGACAAGCACATCCTGAAGAGTTAAATACATGATTCACTGTGTCTTGAACAGAATTTTTTCAGTTTGGACCCTTTGGAACTGCAAGGCAGTAGATGGTAAGTTTCAGCATTTGCCAGAAAGATGATGATTAGAATATGATTTTAAAAAACCTCAGCTGATGGACTTTCAAAAATCTAAGTTGATTGTAGTAACGTGTTCTCATAGTTTCTTGGCAGTCTAACATCTGTTTGAAAGTATGGATGCTAAGGGCTCTAAGATTTGAGGCACTTGATCATACTGCTTGTATGAAAACCTTCTACTTCTGAATAAGTTGCACAAAAATTCCCTCTGTAATTTTTTAATCTAATAATACAAATACCATTCAAATACATACAGAACTCTTTTTTTCCTAACATTAAATATAATCTATCTAGCAATCCTGATAGGTATATTTCTTACTTTCATAATATAATACTAAATACTATCTTCATCTCAAAACCTCGCAACCAACCACCAGCCACAGTAACAAGATGAAGACTACGCTTATCATTTACATCTTGGGAATTGCCACATCACTTTGTGAACACCATAAGCATCTTCATGAACACAGAATGGTTTAACATCCATCTCCAGTTTGAAGGCAAAACCTGTCTCCTAGCTCTACTGTGTTCCTGGTTTTATCGTCAGTGCTAAGAGTCTGCAAAACCCCATGCATTTTAATGTAACCAAATGAAATCTCATTCAGTAGAAATACAGAACATAAACCATGCTTCCATTTCTGACTAGTCCAAAAATTGCCTAATAGGGCTTAAAGTTTTATTTAAGAAAATAATGGAACACAAATGTTTTGGTGAGGAATAACTCCACTAGTGGAAACTTCTAAGCAAACAAATTTCTTCACAGGAAGTGCTTGCTAACGTGACATTTTCCAAACATGAAATGGAAGAAACTTTAATGAGGAAAAGTGAGTTTATCAATCACTCTATTTCCAGCTTTACTCCTGATGATTTCTGCAGCCCTGAAGAAGAAATAACCTGAACATTTTTATTTCAGCTTCTAGAGGTACGAAGCTGTAACTCAGATAAAGTACCACACTGGGGCCAGAATAAAAAAACCTGCAGGAAACACACTTGATTTATAAAACAACATTTGGCAGGTAATGTTATTATTTATCTAATTCAAACACTTGCCATACAGAGCAAAATCCCTGCCAACCACAACAGATAGTGCAATAGATCTGTGGTGGGTACATAAATAGAAATATTATAAGACAACTTAGAAAACAATGAAGATGGCAGCTGCAAACCCATCTGTCTCATCACAGCTGAGCAGTAAGTGATGCTAGTAAGCTGAACTTTAACTGAGAAGTATGAGGCAAACTGGCACACTTCTGCATTCCTACTCCTCCTGTCTCATACCCCCAAAATCATCTCTTTAGTTTAACAATCAGCTCTAACTTTTAATTTACTACAACAGTGTCCCCCAAAATAGTATTTTTTCTTTTCTTTTTTTCATTTTTAGCAAGAAGCACAAACATTTCCCTCTCCCACAGACAAGGGCAGAACACTGTGGGTCAGCAAATAAGCAACTTCTGGAGCAGAAGGATAAACCTGAACAGGTTTAAACAATCATTAAAACTTCTTCCTGCTGGTGATGAAGCAATTAACTGTCTCAGACTGAGCCAGACACAAAGTCACTACGGAGAATAAATTCTCTGCTTTTTCTCCTTACAAAAAGCCCTTTTTCATCTTGCTATGTAAAATCTGTCCTGTTGTGTTGGGAGGGAAGGAAACTTGGACTAGTGCCATCTCTTTGTTTTCTTTTTCTTTGAGAGGAGCTTGCTTGCTAGCAGAACAGTTCTTTATGGGCGTTAGTTTTGGACTTCTTTTGTGCTGTGTTTTATTTAGTCTGCTTTTGCATTCACACTGAGGATAAATTTGACCACTGCGAATACAGTATGAAAAGCCATCAGGTTTGATCTCTCTCCTTTTTTCACTCCATATGTTTGTGCAGAGAAAGCTTCACAGTATTAAGGTATCTGACATGCTGTCAGACAAACAGCACTTCCAGGGAACAAGAAATATTAAGGCCATATACAGTTTTTGTGATGACATGTAAAGGCTGCCTGTTGCTTCCTGCATACAAGGGATTTGACAAAGCAGGACAGAAATCCCTTGGACGGCCAGAGGCAACACCTTCTGGAAATCACTCTAGTCTTTTCTGAGCAGGAGGGTTTGTACAACTTCACCATCTGCCTGCAAGTATGTGGTGCTGATGGCAGCATGTGTGTGCAGAAGGTGACGAGGTTGAACAAGACAGAGTGACTAGACTAAGTACCTACACTAACTGGATGCCATGAGGGACACAAATACAGAGCTGTTTGGGTGACTGGTTCCTTTCTCACAGCAAAATAAGTCTACCAACATCCTATCTGCCCATGGGTATGGAATTTAACGTGAGGCTCACCTTCCTCTTCCTAGGAATGGGTTCATCAAAGAGAAGGTTGCTTGTTTCGGCTTCGTCAATACCATCATCTGTCTGGGAAGGTGTCCGAAAAGCTTTGAAGCTATCAGCTGACAGAGGTGGAGATGGGGTGGATGGGTTGGACTGGTCACTGGGAGCATTCCAGCTCCAGTATCCACTGCTGCTGGTACTAGAAGGCACAAATCCTCCTTCTTTCCAAGATCCATTTAGGGATTCTGTCAAGGACAACAACAGCCATCATTATAACAGTATCATGTGTTAGGGCTAAGGAACTGTTTTAACTAAGGCTTAGATGCCATATTGATAATTAACTGTATGTTCAATAAAGGAAAACAAAAGCATTGGAAGTAGAGAGGACAACTACATCTGTCCTGCTGCATATAAATTATATATTCCACACTTGCCCCTTCATAAAAAACAAAACAGCAAAACCAAAACCAAGCAACATTTTCCCCAAAAAGAAACGCTGGGTTTGGAAAATTAACCTGTTCCGGAGCATAAACTGCAATAAGCAGTAAGATACAGCATGCACCATCAAGAGAAAACATTCAAATACATTCTCAACTTTCAACAGGAACACACGACTCTGGTGGGGCATCAGAGCAAGCTCTAAGCCACTGCATGGCCAACAGGAGATCCCCTGGGAAGGGGACATACACTCTGAGCCCCAGGGCACTAAGCAGATCTGCAAAAACATGCCACAACACCCCAGCAGACACCAAAGAAAACCATAATTAACACTCTGTTATCTCATAATCCCTCAGTGCACACACCTCTGCATAATTTGAACGTCTAAATGAGATGGAAAGTATCCTTGGAAGGATATCCCTTTGTCTTCATATAGGTGAATCATCTGATTTCGGAAGTAGGAGGCACAGATGCTGGATCACCTCCACACCTACTTGCTGGAGGAACCCCCTCCTCCCTGCAGCAGTTTCCCTGACATTAGCTGGTAAGCAGACACTCCAACTAACGAGTCACTCTACAACATGGTGGGTGACAGTAACAGCACTGTTTTTGCAGTCTAAGGCACGGCTTGAGCTATGCTTCATGTGCTGAGGTTCTCAGGTGGTAAGACACCTGCATGCCACTCTTCCCAATGCCCAAAGGGCTTTGGCCAGGAGAGGAGTATGCAGGTCATGAGCTCAGCAAAGGTATGGCTCGAGTGTGTCCAGAGGTGCAACCATGGGTGGCTCTGCCTGAAGCTTCAGGTTCTTACAGGGCTCAGGCACATGTGCAGGGCTGGTTTATGTGCAGCTTCTCCCTAACTCAGGCACTGGAAACTTTTCCCAATGACACCATATTGTGCAATACCCGACTTTGGAGTTAGCAAGCAAATAACATCTTATCTGTTCGTGAAACATTATTTAAGTGTGAGACAGGAGTCTTTTCAAGCCAGAGCCTGCCTTGAAGAGTTCTGCAGAAGTCACTGCTTCATTCTTTCTCAGTTTCTTACAGATAAATTTAACTCATGACATCAGCAAGAAAATAATTTCTACCACCTGCTACCAAAAGCTTAACCCAAAACCAAGGATTTTTTTTTTTCTTTCTCCTAATCAGTTGATTTTGGATGAAACCCTTAATCATTAGCATCAGCTGCTCACAAAACAGAACGCAGTGCTCCATCATCTAAACACATGCATAAAAATGTCCCTGTACTTACTGATCAGGGCCACAGATGATAAATAGGATGTCCCCCCACCCTCCCAAATTCCACTTTGGAAAAGGACATAAATATTTCTGGTACCTACTGAGTTAACACATGAAAATGTCATGTTTTGTTTCATGATTACAGCCTTCATGTGACTGTAATGGAGGTGGTTTTTGTTCCTTGTAAGTATTTGTACTTGAGTCTTGTGCCAAAGCCAAGTAGTACATCTGGTATCAACTTGTGACCTTAGCATAGCTTAAAATGTCCATTTCTTCAGAAAAACAAAGGAAACAGCACTCCTTCAACTACTACTTTCTCACACAGTTATGGTGGTATTTCATATTCTTAGGGTTTACAGCTTCTCCTCATCTTACTGAGAAAGAGATGTAAATCAAGAACATTTTTAAAGTAGTATGGAAAAGACTGAATGAGGTTGACAACAGGAAAAAACAAACACTGGTTCTCATTAATACTACTAAATCTGTCAATGTAAATAAATTTAAAATATAAATAAATGCAACTTACTCTTATTTTGGGGCTCTTTTCACATTGCTGGAGTTGCGTGAAAGAGAACCAGACCAAATATTACTCAGCTGCAGGGAAACAAGGGCCAAACTCTGATCCAGTTTACATGGGTGATCATCCCCAGTAGTTCCAGCACAGATCAGACTTTAACATTATATGCTAAAGTTATTTCTTTATACTTTTAGGCAAAATTCCATTTGTTTAAACAAATGTTCCCTTAACTTCACTGCTACTTGCTGCCCCTTTTTAGAAAAGGATGTAGACAGATTTAATCATCAGAATATTTGTAGCTCATATTACTAAGATCAGAGCCTAGCCTTGCAACACCACATGAGCTTTAAATTAACAAATCTTTACACTTTAAGTCTTTAGGAAGTCTTCACTCAGGCAAAACTAGGATATTCAGGGAGAAGGTGCCCAACAACAGCTTCAAAATCTTGCCTGTGACTACTGAAAACGCGTGTATTGCTTTTTCAGGCTAGTCTTCCCAGATCTGGGGAAGCAAGCAGACACGCTATGTGAAGAAATATCAAAGAGCACTCAGACTGCATGAAGAAGTATCAAAGGCAGTTAACAGCTACCATTTACCTATTAGCAATTCAAAAGGGCTTGTCTGGAACATCTTTCCAAGCGACAGCTGCTAGCTAATGTGCACTGCTGCTCCTGACAAGTGTCGTCTGCTCAAACTGTCTACACTGGCAGATACTGACTTGCCCCACAGCAGAGCAGCTCTCTCTGAAGAGGGATGCAACATGGGACATGTGCGTGCCTCAGCCACTCCAAATCCCTGCCTGGCACATCAGCACAGATCCATCTTTGTCTGTGGTTCTGGCTGTGAGCTGAGCAGCTGGAAAACAGGTTTGTTTTACCCTTCCACTGGCCTTCCCTGGGGGCTGGCAACCTCCAGCCCTGAGGCAGGATGGTCACTGGGGATGTCACTGCTGGAAGGTTCCCAGGGCTCCTCTGAGCAGTGGCACTCCTTAAATACTTCTTGTTTTCAACACTGGAAAGCACGCAAACAGGAGCCATGGTGTTCATGGCTAGAATTCCAACTAAATGTTTTCTGGAAAGAAATGGAAAACCACACAATTTGTTCAAAAACCTTCCAAACTGGGACATTTGATATGAATTCCTTTTAAGAACACCACTCACTGGATTGCCCCTGCTTCCATGAAGAACTGTAAAGACTATTTTCCATTTATTTTGCATCTGTAAGCATTCGTCAAAGTCCTCTGATTATTTACAGTTGGAGGGCATATAGTGTCTATTTAACAGTTACAAGTGAGTAAGAAAAGCCAGAATCACACAAACAATGCTCAGACATCCTAACAAGGGTGTCCTAATTTAAACTATTCCTTAAAATATAACAGTTCTAAAAATTTCTTGTAACTCCAGCCAGGCTTGCACAGACTCATTATATCTGATTACCAATCACATTATTACCACTAACTTTTTAGACTTATGTTTATTTGTGTGTCTTCTGCTATTCTGTGGGTGGAGCAGTCTTTAAGAGATCATGGATTTGATGGCAGACCATCTGAGAGTTACAAAGGGCACAAGAATTGAGAGTCTAATCCTGCATCAGCAGAGACAGATCTATTGCTGTGCAGACTGCGAGTGCACAGCTTTGCAGCTGAGGGCTGTGACCTGGAAGCGCTTTGCCTCATTGCAGAGCTGAGTAAAATCTCATCTGATTTCCATGGGGTGAGCCCAAGAACAACTTCTGTCATGTTTACTGCATATTAAATTAGACATTAGGAAGAAGTTCTTTACTCTGAGGGTGATGAGACACTGGGACAGGTTGCCCAGAGAAGCTGTGGATGGTCCCTCCCTGGCAGTGTTCAAGGCCAGGCTGGATGGTGCTTTGAGCAACCTGGCCTGGTGGAAGGTGTCCCTGTCCATGGTAGGAGGTTGGAACTAGATCTTTATGGTCCCTTCCAATCCAAACCGTTCTATGATTCCATGATTTTCTATGTGCAACTGCAAGTAAACTGTTTGGAAAATCAGCATTTCAGCGAGGTCAGAAGACCTCCTGCAGCACTCATCTCCCACTTACGAAATGGGGCATCTCCTATTTCATAAACTGGAGCTGCTCTACAGTTACAGAAAAGGTTTCTTCCTATTTCTGCCAATGCTGCACCAAAGACCTTGACTAGGTTGGAGCACAGCTCAGTATGACCCCCCAGCATGCACGGGCATTGCTGGAAGACAGCCACTCACCCTTTGTCCTCCACCATGGCCACAACTGCTGGGAACAAACCCCACATACAGAGCCCTGGCACCCTCCCTGCAGCCCCTGCCCTGCCCAGCTCTGCAGGCTTACCGTTGGGTCGGACAGGAGGGCTGCGGACCAAGGGGCTGGTGGATAAACTGGTGAGTACCATGGCTGCTGTTACTTTATCCATGTCCAGTTCTTCTGAAGATTTTCTGAAACACAGTGAATGGGGGGCAGGAAACACATCAGCACATACTTATCTTTTTTTTACTGGTGATTTTTGTTTTTTCTTTTTAATACCAGCCCAAACCCTAAGCCAGAACAGTAGGTAACAAAAGCAAGCCACCAAGCAGAGTTCTCAAAGCTTCCGTCTTCTGGCAATCTGAGCACAGCAAGTGGCCACTTTAAGCAAACCAGCTCAGTGTAAATAGGAAAAGCAGTGGCTAAAGAGAATACATCTTCCCGAAAGTTCAACTCTGTTCCCTCCCCCTTTTTTTTTACTTCAGAATTCCAGCTATTCACATCCTTAGAGCTAAGTGTGTACTTAAGGGTTGTGGTTTTTTTTCTTGGATGAAGACATAAAGATGCAAAACCAGGTAAGATTACTAGTAACATTAACCGCATACATTACTCTCTATATGGTGAGGAAGAACTATGAACTGGAGCTAAGGGATGCATTTATTCTTTGTTGCTTCTGCTTAACATTAATAACCTTCCTGTACTCTCTGAAAGACTGATCCTAATTTTCCCTGGTCAGATTATAAACCAATTATTTAAAATAATCATCAAACTGGCAGAAAACCTGTGCAGGGGAATTAAAAGAAATAGAGACAGACAGAAGGGTATTTTGCAGGTGTAATGGGCACCTAAGCCTGGAGGATGGTGGGAAGAGAGGGACCCATTGCTGCTTTAGCTTGGTCTCACTGGGAACCAGCTCTAAGTCACAGGAGAAGGCACAGGGAATGTACAATTTCTGAAGAGGGAACATACCAAAGTAAAACTACTAAATCCACTATTTTTAGCAAACTTTTGCTCTACATCCTTGTGGGACACTGGAATCAAAGCAGACAGCTTCTTACAAACGTTTGCTTTCAAACATACGACTGATCATCCAAGACCATCTTCTCATTTACTAGAGATCAAGTCAAATTTGTTCTTACAAAAGGACATTTTCGCCCCTCTATTCAGCATTAAGGGGTTTCTAGGATTTCCTCTGTGGCTTGCCAGGAGCAATATTTAACTGATCAGGTTCAGTCTTTATTTAAAGCCCAATATGAGAAGTGCGATGTCTTCTATCAGCTATGAATCAGTAAGTCATCAAGAGGAATAGGATGTGCTGGTTGCAATCCCCTTTCTAGAATCCCATTTCACCCATCTGATGGAAGGCTCATTAACTGGAAACTTCAACATTGATACTTTACTTCAACTCCTGATATTTCAGCAAGCAAACCTCAAACTTGTCCACAAAATGGTTCACAGCTGCTTTTTGGCTGCTTCAAGGACCCACGCAGATGCCGATGAATACTCCATGCTGCACAACAGCTTAGGTCTCATGACTGTCTTTTGCAACACATCAGTGCCTGGAACTGAAACACTGATGATGGTTCCTGCGGCATTCTAATTATATCCATAGAAACCCTCCTTTCCTTCAGCCAAGTGTTTTGCAAAGAGCACAGCAGCCATATGGTCATCATCAAGTACTGGAAAGGTCTTGGGTATCTGCTGTCATCAGCTAATACCTGAATGCACCAACAATCAGGTCCTCTCGCCTACAGGGTATTTCTCTCAGAATGCTAAATCCCTTTGGGCTCAGAAGACCTCTCCTCAGGGATGACACAGAGATGCTACATTTCTTGGAGATCAATGCTGCCAAACGATTTTCCAATTATCTAATATCCCAGTATGAAAATCCACTCTGAGAAGGATTCAGCTGCTCTGTAGCGCATGTCTGCATGACTACACCAAGCTCTCTTCTCCTTTACCCAGCTGCAGATGAACCACTAATATTTGCACTTCTGCAACATACGAAGACAAAATGACCACAGGTTCCTGATGTGCTGGAGAGGCCGATTCCTCATGTTTGCAACCACCTTTCCAACACAGATCTTATGTGTGTGTAGCAACAGAACTAACACCCTCCTGGCCAGGGCTCTGCAGAGCTGCAAAATCACACTACAGCAGTTGTTGCAAGCATTCGCCAAGTTAGTGTCAAGATGTCAGAGTACAGACCTAGAGCGAATTCCAAAGATCCTCCAAAGAGCCTGTAATTTTAACTTCTTCTAGCTCTTCTGTATCGATGTTGTTTTTCCCCCTCTACCATGACTCAGACTGCTGCTCTGAAAAGTTAACCTTGGCTCCAAATAATTTTGTCAATAATGCCCCAAAATTGCCAGCACTGGCATCCGTGCCCAAGATGAAACTTTTCACAGCTAGGCAAAGGACAGGAGCACTCATGAAAATCCCTGCCATTTCTAGCCATGCTAAACCACACTCTCGCAATTACTGGAACGCTTTTTTCTACTTGATCCAATGTAACAGATTTTCAATATAGAAAGCCCAAATAAATAAAACTTTGAACTTTTTCTCTGCCCATTTTGAATCACAGTAATTTTTACGACTTGCTGCTCCTCAGCTGCATCCAGCAAATAACAAATGCTCTGCTTGTACTTCCCAGCCACAAGAATTTCAGCAGCTACAAGAGCTGGCTTATGTGACTCTGCTCCCAAACACATTTTTACAGTTTGGCTCATAAATGTAAACATACATATTTCATATGTCACTCAGCCAGCACCGCTGCAGCAGCAGCAGCCTTCAAGACAGAGGCAAAGCACAAAACTGAAGACAGGAACCACTTAAGTCATCTGAATTTAGTCAGCATCACATGGAAGTTGATGCCTTATGACTGCTGCAGTCTCTTCCATCTTTCTGTGCTGGAAAGCTGAACCTGCACACAGCTGTTCAACTGTACTTGCACTCAGAGGGGAGAATAACTTGATTGTTACACATCCTGGAAGTGTTCACAAACCGTGTAGATGAGGCCCTCAGTGACACGGGTTAGTGGTGGACTTGGCAGTGCTGGGGTAACAGTTGGACTTGATCTTAAAGGTCTTCTCCAACCTAGCTGATTCTATGATTCTACGTACTATTCACAAACCATTTATTCCACCACTGCTCAGGTGACTTTCCACAGACTGAAGTTATAATCCCTGATGTTGCTTATACTGTTATTAAGTGTAATGAAATCTAAATCACTTCTAAGATCATCTCCTACATCAGCTATGAAGATTCTTCTCTCCTGTCTTCCATATCCCAGGCTCAAAACGCCATCTCTCAACTCCCGGACAGATATATTTGTGTCAGCCCAGTCTTCATTTGAGACCAAGCAGTTCTGGATCCTTTATTTCCAAGTCTCTGTAAATCCAAACCCAAGCCAATAGCTGAATTGTAATGAACTAGCTGAGACGTAAGCACCAGAAGTTAGAGGACCTTGGGGACAGACCTTTTACCACCCCCCCATGTCTCTCAACTCCATGTCTCCTTGCTTCCTCAGCAGGGAGAGTGGTTTCACTTGATCCCTGCAACACTCTAACCTAGCTAGCCTGGTATTTTAAATTGTCATTTTCTTTAACAGCCAAGCTCTAATTAAACTTGGTTACTACCCTCACCCTGGCTCAATCCTTTTCTTGGTTTGGTTGATCAATTTACTGCTTTTTTGATAATCACTTAAGAAACATGTCTTCCTCAGTCAGAGCTCTCTGTGAAGAAAAGCCGGGTTTAAGCTCCAAAAGATGAGCAGAAGTGGAACCAAGATGACTCCAAGGCCATGCAACTCCAAACCAACACAACACCCAATCTCCTACTGTCCCATTTCCTCAGCCAGCAGTGTACTCACCCTAGAACCTGTGTTTCCCTATGAGACTGAATCCATGGTTAAAGCTCTTGAAACAATTCCTCCCTCCTAGCAACTTCCTGGTGAGTGGATGTCTTCCTGTCCTCCCTTTGGGAAAGATGCACAGGTCCTCTTCTGGCCATTGTCACCTTCACACTCCCTTCTAAATGTTATTCTCGCCTGGACGCACCTATTCCCCACTTCTGGTGTTAGTTCTATCAGCCACACCATCATCTATGGTTGGAACTCTTTTTTTTTTCAAACTGTTTCTCAAAAAATCCTTAGAAATACATATTTCTTTTTCCTAGTTTTGAAGTCTTTAGTCTATTTTTTATTATTTGCCTGGCTCAGACCAAAAGCCTGCAGTTCTTCCTCTTGGAAAGACTCTTAGGGCAGTACTTCACCGAAGCACATTTTAAGGCTTCTGGAGAATATTCTTAGCGCAGACACACTCATGGTGGTAGCAGGTGTTTTTGATAAAACTGACCTTATCCAAAAGGACAACTAAGCCCATTTTAAGCAAATTAAAAACCAGACAAATTTATTTTCCCTGTCAGCAACTCAAAAGCTTTCAGTTATTTCCCTGACCAGCAGCCTCAAACTCCAGTGCAGCAATTCTCAAAGCACTGCATAGAAAGTGCTCTCCTACGCTCCTGAGCTGCCCTGGCACACCATGAGCATGGACCTGGCAGAAGAGAGCTGCTCCAAGTGGTACTGAGGAAAGCATTACTATTTAGACATCTAAAAAGAGAACTGAGCTGCAATAATACGATGCACTAATTAGAAGCTAGGGATTTCTGCCTTTGCTCATTGTGGCCAAGCAGAAAATTAATGTTTTCCACTCTTTATGGTACTTGCAGACTAATTCATATACAGACCAACTGACCTTTCTTTGTCAGTCTCTGCTGTCCTTGTTATACACAAGCAGTTTTTTTGGATACTGACAGTTGCTAAAAATTAATTATGATCAAACTCTTTATTATACAGATATAGGAAATTTTCTTCTAAAAAACACATATACATGAACTTCTCATGTAAAAAGGAAAAATGCATCAAAGGCCACCTCAAAGCTCTCCACCTCCTCCTGGCCAAGCTGACAGATTTTGCAATTCAGTTATTAAAAGGACCTTTGGAAGTCTGGCTGGTGCATTAGAGCCCAAGGAGAGTCAATAGAGTCATCCATCAGTGACGCAGATACTGGCTTTAGATCTGGACCATAATGGTTTAAAGACAATACAAAAATCTCTGCAAATTAGTCATATCAGATGAGATGATGGGAGACATTCACAGAGTGGTTCTCAACATGCTGGAGCAGAAAATACT